AAATGGGCAATTTTGTCTTTTCTTTTTAAAAAAATGTGTTATGAAGTTGAAAACAAACATTTGGGTAATAATATAAAGTTTCATCCATTTTCGTAATAGCAGGAAATATAACGGATATTTACGTAGTTTTCCCATAAAAAAAAAAAATTGAAACTACCCTTCTTAAGTTAAATCATTATAAAAATATCCATTAAGTCCCTTCACTTAAAACATAAAAGATCGCTAAAGTACCCCTAACTTTAATTAACGCATTGGAAGTAATTAGAAATATGTAAAAACAACAATAAACTAAAAATAAATTCCTTCAAAAAGTCGGCCTTTGCATCGTGGATCTCCTTACGATATTGGGATGTAGATCATAAAGGGGGGCGTTAAAGGATGGATTGATTAGGTCAAAAGGTTCATGGAAACTTTTCTGATTAGTCAGGATTGTCAGGTGCATCATTCTTTCCACCAACTGGGAAGAACTTGACCTCGAGTTCGGCTCTTCTCAATTCAGCTAGAAGGTTGATCTTACAGGCATTAGTCCCCATCTTCTTTGGCACCCGAAATAGTCCAATCTTCCTATCATTCAGCTTCTTGTATTTTCTCATAGGATGCCTATCTTTCTGTAGATGAACCATCATTGAATCGCCCACTCGAAAAGTTTTGAACGCCTATGTTTATCTGCAGCTTCCTTGTACTTGGTAGTAAAAATATCCAAATTAACTCGAACCTAGTAATGGACATCCTTCATGTTCTCGATCATAAGGTCAACATCAAAGTGTCCCTACCCATTAGCTGGTAGAGGAGTCAAATCCAGCATATGGGTAGGATTCTACCCATACACGACCTCAAATGGACTCTTGGCGGGAATTGTTATAAGTGAACTTGGTTTGTAGCAAAGCCAAATTCTGATGTCTTTTCTTGTCATCCACTATGCTCCGGAGTAGGTTACCATGGGTTTGATTAACCAACTTAGTTTGACCATCAGTTTGTAGATGATAAGCACTGCTAAACTGTAGCTTGGTACCCATATTGCATCATAAAGTTCCCCAAAAGTGACTGAAAAACTTGGTATCCCTACCCGATATAATCATTTTGAGAATCCCATGAAGTCTCACTATCTCACAAAGATATAAATTGGCCACATGAGTTACATTTAGAGTCTTCTGGCAAGTAATGAAGTGTGTCATCTTTGAAAACCTGTCAACCATAATAAATATAGTGTCCATACCTCGTTCAATCCGCAAAAGACCCAACGCGAAGTCCATGCTAACATTCCATGGTGCATTGACATTGGGAAGTGGACAATATAGAATTTTAACGCTGGTCCTTGCAACTTGACACATTCTGGATTTCTCCACATGCCTAGCCACATCTTGACTAAGTTTGGGCCAATAGCACTTAGACTCCACCAATGCGATTGTTTTGTCTAGCTCAAAGCGTTCCCAAGGCCCCCACCATGTAGCAAATCTCTGCAAAATCGTCATCATCAGTATACAAGTCACACAGACAACCTTGTCACCATAGCTGCCATAGTGGTAAAAAATGACGCTCTTCGACTTAAGGAATCTGCAACTTTATTCTGATTCCAGGCCTTGTGACGAATCACGAAGGTGAACTCCTACAAATATATCACCCACCTAGCTTGTCGGCTATTTAGCTTATACTGCCCATACTTCAGTGCCTCGTGATCTTAAAATAAAAGAAACTCATGTTGAAAAATATATTAATGCTAGTGTACTAAGTTTGAATGAATACATAAAATTCTATGTCATATGTGGTGTACCATCAACGTGTATCATTGAGCTTCTTGCTAAAATATGTGACGAGTTTACCCTCTTGGCTCAAAATAGACCCAATACCAACATGTGAGGCATCACATTCTAGTTCAAACATCTTATCAAAGGCTGGCAATCCTAGCACGGGTCACTCAATCATGGCTTGCTATATCCTCTCAATGCTTTTTTCTTTTTCTGCATTTGTATGAAAGAACCCTTACTTCAAAGAGTTAATGAGTGGTGCTATGATGGTGTTGAATCCTTTAATGAACCGTCCATGAAAAGTGGCCAGACCATAGAAACTACTTATGTCATGGACTGATGTAGGGGTTGGCCATTCTCTTATGGCTGCTGCCTTTATCTCACCCACGCTGATTCCCTTAGAGAAAACCACAAAACCCAAGAAAATTAAACTGTTGGTCATGAATTCACACTTTTTCAAATTTGCATATAGTTGCTTCCTTCATAACAACTCTAGCACAAGCCTTACATGGTCCATATGGGGCCTTTCAATAGAGGATATCATCAAAGTATACCACCAAACTTTCCTATTTATGGCTTAAAGACTTGGTTCATGAGCTTCATCAAGGGTCCAATATTGTTGCAAAACTACCACATCTTTAATTGATTGGCTCAATCCATTCACATACTTGGCAATAGACTGCTCCTCCTGCTCGAACACATCACTACGGGCAGTCAAAAGGTGAAGCTTATATGTGTATTTGTCTACCGATCTCTCTTCTTAGCACAACACATGTATCTTTTGATATAAGGTTTGTAAATAATTTTTAGGCTGGTACTTTTCCTTTAATTTCCTTTTCATCGCCTCTCAAGAATTTAATTTTGGGCTTTCCCATTCTCTCTTGCATTGTTGTCGGTTGTTCCCACCATACCAAAGTACATTTCTTCAATTTAATGGCAATAAATTTAACTGCTTTGCTCTCTAGCACATCCTTGTAATAAAGGAAAATGCTTCTATATGACCCTAACAACATATGAGTTATATGGGACCCCCACTTCATAGTTGTTCGTTTTGAATCAAATGGATTCAATTATCGATACCACAATGTCACGCCAAACATTGTTTTATTTCTCTTTTTTTTTTCTACAAAACATTTGTACATGAAATTTTGGGTGTCCCATCATAAAATTAGGGCGAACTTGGAAAAAATACAAAAAAATATTTTCTATAAAAATAAATAACCAAAATGCCACTGCAATTTTCAGGGGTTTCTTGGTAATTTTTTATCCCCTTAAATATTTTTTATTATTTTTATTAGGTGCGCCCTGTCAGATCTATGCATGCCTCAAATTTTGCTTCAAAATTATTTGTAGAATAAAAATAAATAATAAAAAACTATGAGTCATCTGATCAAGATCTGATGGTTAAGAGCTAGCTTGTGACATTGGGACTCAAGCCATCTCAGCCATTTACTCGGATCTAACAGTTGAGACCAAAGATCACATATACTATATATGTGGGTGGGTTCACATAGAAAGCTTTCCCTTGTACTAAAAAGACCTCTCTACCATGTTTAATCAGTCAATAAAGTCATTGGGCTGCGACTTTCTTTTAAATTTGGAATATCTAAGTTTAAATCTATGGAATTTTAGTGTCACCCATACCTCCAATCGTATTCCTCTTCGCTCAACTCATCCAACAGAGCATGATAGTGAAAGGGGTTTACTCAACATCATTTTGGACAGACAACTTCATCTCACCGATGATCGATACCTGCAAGCCGCCTCGTAAGTTTTTGAACTTGTTGTATCAGGTGCTCCATCTCCTAATCCC